CAGAGCAGACGTGGGAAGCATCCACCCAAAGCACAGCCGTGCCCGCTGTCTCTCTGACTCCAAACCAGTTCCCAGGTTTTCATCCCATTTCTGGCTGAATTGGGAGGTTCCTTTCTGCCGCTGCAGGTTGAATTAGTGCTGTTCATAAAATCTTTTCCCCTGCAAACACTTCCAGACCTAGAGAGGGAAGAGCACTTGTCCATCTACTGCTCCGAGGCAGAGCGGACACCTCTGAGCGGGATGCTCCAGCTCAGCTGACAGCAGGGAGTCCCCAGGCTCTGGCATCAGCCCATGGCTGTGGGCACGCAGCGATGCTCTGCCCGCTTTGCTCCCCAGCCTAGGGGACAGCAGTCAGAGCCCATCACAGCTGCCCATGAAGCCAGTGAAGGCAAGATGCAGGATGTTCTACCCACAAAACTGCAAGGCAGGAAGCAGGGAAGAGAGGCTGAAGTAGCAGCCAATGCTCTAGCATCAGTCCTGCATGGGTGGCAGGTCTCTGCCTGCGGGCTCGGTCTGCCTGTGCCCAGAGTGCTGCCTGCTGTTGCTCTGGTCTGTAAGTTCCCACCCCACTGCTGGGCTCCAGCAGTAAAACAAGGGATCCGGACCTGCAACAAAAGGCAGCGAAGGCTGAGAGCATCAGCAGGGCAGCCCAAGGGCTCCACCGCTTGCCCTCTCTCGGCTATGGCTCTCTTCAAAGCTTTTCATTTCTTCCCCTGAAATTGTCTTGTCAAGAGAGCCTTAGAAACATTCAGCACCATTTGCTCTGCGCTTTAGTGGAGAATATTTGGTTTTGTTCACCAACTGTGGTGTCAAGACTCAGTGAAGTAACTCTTGGAGCGGAAGGGATGCAGCTGGGAAAGATTTCCCTTCAGCATAGCAGATGGGGAAAGTCACCTTCCAGAAGTTAGGCGCTGGATATGAGCTGTGCTCTGGTCTCTAAAAATAAAAGCAATAAAAGCTCCTTGTGGGGTTGCTAGAACATGTCAGCTTGTATAAAAATACCCATGGATTTCACCAGTAGGATGCTAGATACGAAAATGCTGTCAGCTCTGGATTAAGACAGTACGCAAATGTCCATCCACCCTGTTAACCTAATTACCATATGAAATGGCAGCATTACAGTTTGACTCATCTTACAAAACAGTGCTAGGGAGAGCCACATCCACCTAGGCACACCGCACACGTCCCAGGAATCCTTGCCTTCCCTGGCACAGGGGACGGGAAGCTCTGCTCTCTTGCCACGTGGAATGACTTGTTTGGCAGCAGCCCAGTGATTCCTACATCCCACCTGAAACCGTGAGGTTTCAGAGATTTGGTCCGGTTTGGGGCCGGCTGGCTGTCTCCTCCCCGGGAGCGCCGGGTCAGTGCTCTGCACCTCTGGGGGGGGCTGATCACACCTGCACGCCTCGGCCATGCATTTGGATCACCTGGGCCCGGAGAGTCTGGATTCCACTCAGGATGGTCTTCTGGTGCTCCACCAGCGTAATCCCCAGGCTAAGGACATCTCTGCAAAACGAACCCCGCGTCAGCCATGAAAAACAAGCCCTAACTGTGAAGTGCCCCAGCACCGACAGCTCCCAGGCAAGGGCAGCGCAGGTTTCAGACTATCAGGCTACTGCAGACCTGCTAGAGTAAGAAATCCTCAACTTGTCCCAGCCAAAGCAATACAGACCCTGACTGGGAATCCAGGGGTAATGTGTCTGCAGCACACCAAGCGCAAGACAGCTCCCAGCCCTGCTGCCCCGTGCTGCCTGCATCAGAGGTTATCAGTAAATTGCATTCAGTTTGACTCTGCTTTCTGGAAGGGACAGGCAACACTACTCTCACCAGAAACTACAGGTTTAAATCTCAGCTTCAAAAACCAGCAACTGAGACGCATAACACATGCAGCCCAACCCATGCCAGTGAGCTCTTACAGACGTGTTTTGGAAGGTCTGTCCTCTTGTTTAGCGACACCTGACTGTAACTGCAAAGCAGAGCTCACTCACGCTGCACCCAGCGACATGAGGTTATAGCCAGAAAACCAGTTCACTTACTGGGCTGTCATCCTGGCCACCGATTCCAGGTAGCAGTAGCCTGCAGCGGTGAAGTTGTCTTTGTACCTGCCCATTTCTATCGCTTCCAGCCACTCGCCCACGGAGCTGAAAGACGGGAAGGCTGAGAAGGTACGCTCGGTGAGGGGGATGGAAGTGCTGTGGGACCTGCCAACAACACGGGGCGGTGAGGAGGGAGCAGGGCACGGCATGCCTGAGGTGGGAACCGGCAGGCAAGGCAGAACAACAGGCAGCAAAGCAAGAGGGCAGTCACCTGGTGCACGTGGAGCTGGGGCACTTCGGGGGCTCCAGGCTCTGCACCATCTTGCTCAGGATGTTGTGGATGTGCGAGAACTTGGGTCTCTGGCTGCGGTCCTTCTGCCAGCAGTCAAGCATGAGCTGGTGGAGGGGTGGCTGGCAGTTCACCGGGGCAGGCAGGCGGAACCCGTCCTCCACGGCCTTCATCACCTGCAGCAGCCGAGGAAGGCAGAGGGGACAGGGTCAGGCGCTGTGATGCAGATCGCAGGCAAACCCCTGGCACAAAGCAAACCCCTGGCACAAACTCCCCTCCTCACCCCCCGCCTGGGGAGCGGCAGCAGCTCCTCTGCGCGCCACAGAGCCACCTGCACACCTTTAGCAATGACAACATTGTCATCTACCACGCGGCTGCCGGGGACTCACGTCCTGGTGGGACATGTCCCAGTAGGGTCTCTCGCCGTAGGACATGACTTCCCACATGACGATGCCAAAGCTCCACACATCGCTGGCTGGACTGAAGTGGTGATACTGGATGGCTTCAGGGGCTGACCACAGCACCAGGCTCTTCCCGCACTGGATGGGCAGAAGGGGAGAAATGACGTGCTCACACAGCAGGATGCAGCCAATGCACGCGATTCCCGGGCGGCTGTTTGTCGTGCCCTGCCCAGCATCCGCAGGGTGGGCACAGAGCAAGCGCGTGTGCCACATGCAGGTTTAGTACCAGGAGAAAACTTTTGCTTCAATTTGTTTTAAATTGGCCATGCAACCATATGCTGCATGGGAGTGTGAGTCCTGAAATATTAATGGGAGAGGAGAATGTCTCTGGGAAGAGCTGATGGCATTTTATACATTAATATTTAATGAAAACCATTTCAGAGCTGCACAAACACACAGTCCCTCCACCCTGGCTTGCTCTCCTGTAATTAGCAATCCCCATCTCGGCATCTGCAGAGCCCTCTGGATGCACTACGGGAAGCAGGTGACAGACACCGCAGCTAATTGTAATTAACAGCAGGGAGACCTTGACCCCAAAGCCACAGCCCTGCTCCACCGCAGTGGGAGAAGCCAGGGCTCCTGCTGGGCTCTCCATCCCCCTCCCTCAGCGGGCTGCTCTGTACCCAGCAGCTCACCAGCGCCAGGGCAACTCTGCTCCAGAGCTTTGCGGCACAAGAGCCGCGGCCGAGCTACAGCTCTGCAGGCAACGCTCCCACGTCCAGCGAGGGGGGGTCGTGCCTCGCCAGGGACTCTTCGGGACAGTGGTACTCCCTATGGAGCACACTGAGCGTGCTTCCTGCAGCTAGTGATAACGGCTAAAAAAGTTTTCAAAAGACTCTTTCTGCTCAGAGCTGGCAAATGACTGCAGCTCCTGGCAGAGCGTGAGCCAAACCCTGCAAACAGGCTCTTCCCCCGGGACGCCCACAGCCTGCACTGGGACACAGGCACCGGGACCCTGCAGGCAGCGCACAGCTGCTGCCTCCTCGGCGCTGCCCGATGCTCCCTGCAAACAATAAGTGCTCATTTGATTGAGGAATCAATGCTCTTTAAAATATTAATGCCTGGTTAATGTGACACGCTAACAGCCCCAGCTGATACCGGGCAGCTGCAGGGTACCAAATGAAATACCTCTTATTGCTCTGCAGTTAAAAATGCATTGATGCACCATCAAGTGAGAAGCACCGAAGCGGTGCGTGAGACAAGCTGGGAGGGAGAGCTGGCTCCAGCAAGGGGCTGCGGGGCCTCGGGGCCCACGGGGTGCCTGCCCAGCCCCGTGGGCAGGGGCAGCCCCCCAGCTCTGTGCCAAGGGCTCCCGGGCAGCTTCTCCAAGCGCACACAGGCACTTGGGAGACGTGCTGGCTAGCAGAGCTGACGAGGCACGTGTGAATCAAGCAGGACTTAAATTCTTAATTGAAACTCATGAATTTCATTACAAGTGATAAAACAGACATGAGGAACCCTGAGGGGCTCCCTCCAGCCACCCACCGCCTCTGCCGGCTCGCGCAGACGTGCAGCAGGCCTGCGGCCAGAGGAAGAGCAGTGCTAGGCAGCTGTCGTGAAGTTCCCTGGCTAAACGCATTTGATTTCTAGCTGAGAAAGAAGCTGTTAAGATGCAGAGCCTGCATCCATACATGGGGAAGGAAACGGGAGCCTAGGAAAAATGCTGGTTCTGGAGTAGGATTGCTCTATGTCCTATTAACTCCACCTGTGGAAGCTGGTTGATTTGATCCTTCATCGGCATTCAGAGCAGGCTGCAAACCTCTCCAGTGACGCCAGGCCCTGGTCCAAGTGGCCCTGGCCATGCATTGCAGCCAGGGAGATCAACCCCTGCAGAGGTTTCGTAGCCGTTCTGTCAGCATTTTGCTTTTGTGAAACGTTGACAACAGAATTTGGAAATGCAGCTTACCATGGTGGAGAAGATGGTCTCCATCTTATCTTCTTGTGGCCGTCTGAAACCAGTTATTTTGCAAGCCAGGCTGCTGTTCACAAGGACTTTGTGGGCAGCAAGGCTTTTATGTATGTAACCCATCTCTGCCAGGTACTTCATGCCAGAGGCAATCCCCTGCAACATGCAAACGAGCTGGGTGGCCGTGAACTGTCCCTCATGTTTCTGATGTCAAAAAAAAAAAAAAAAAAAAAAAAAAAAAAAAAGAGGAGGAAAAGCCAAAGGTGAGTAATGCCCAGCTCAAGGGGGCACTGCCAGCAAAACCCGAGTGGGTGGCAGACCCCAGCAGTTACCACCGGCTCCCACAGCACTCACCCTGAGAAAAGAGTCCAGCACACCGTTCCCCATGTACTCCATCACTATCATCATGGTACTCCCTGCACGGACAGACAAGGAGCACTGCGTGAGTCCTGCACATTGCTCAGGCAGTTCTAATGCTGCAGGTGTTAGAAATCCGGGTGCTAACCTCCAGCGTGGTCAGCCTGCACTGCCTGGCTATTAAGGGAGACAAGGACTTCATTCTCAGACAGTTTGCAACAAGCAGTGGGTCTGAGGCTTTCCTGTTGTTCCCAGCTGGGATCCCACTGGATCCCAATGTCAGATGCTCCTTTTATCAGGACGCTGAACCACATCACAAAGGATAGCACTACCCAGTGAAAGCAAAAGCAACCAGCTCAGCCCAAGACTCAGGACAGAAATACTTCCTTACCTACTAAAAAGGCTAGTTAAAATCAGCACACGTGCTCACATTTCTGTGGATTTACATGAATATCCACTTAACTACAGCATCTACAGACTAGTTCAGCGCACACACTCCCATGAGAGCCGGGAGCAGTCAGAGTCATCTGTTTTACTGACAGAAGCTCGCTTCAATTTGCTTTTATTAAGAGTGCACAGTTTTGCTGCTAAACCAGTCCTACTACCTGGATTTATTAATCTAGCTGTGAGCATTTTATTAATCATCAGAATGCTAAAATAGCTAATACATGAGGAAACACCTGATTTCCAGAGAGCCAACAGTATTGCACCTCCAGCACCAGGTCATCGCTCCAAAGCGACAGCTTAAGCACATTGCCTGCACAGGAGCCTTCCTCCGCTGCACGCGGCTGAGGCTGCCCCGTGCCGTACAGCCCGGGACCCCCTCACCTCTGGTGATGACCCCCTCCAGGCGGATGACATTGGAGTGATCGAACTGGCCCATGGTGCAGGCCTCCGCCAGGAAGGAGCGCTGCTGCTTCTCCGAGCACCCTGCCCGCAGGGTCTGGATTGCCACCGGCAGCTCTCGCTTGCTGGGCAGCTTCAGGCAGCCCCGGCAGATTTCTCCAAACTCTCCTGTGCAGCAGAGAGATGAGTTAAACAGCATCCACGGCAGGACGTCTCTTGCAGCCCGCTGCTCAGCGCCGCGCATTCCCCGAGGACGCCCTGCAATCACGCCCACACCACCCCTCAGCGCGCTGCCACAGATCCCTCTGCCGTTTCCAGAGCACGAGAGAATGAGCGACCTGCCAGCTGACTTCACAGCTTCCTCACAGCTTTCGGTATCATCGTGTAAGGGTGATCTGTTACTGAGCTGTGTATATACACACAACTGCTACAAAGCAAAGGGCAGCAGTCCTCTTCTGGGAAGTCAGCTTCCCTTTAGGGGACATTTTCTTTGCTTTGGGACCATACAGTGCATTTCTGTACCACGAACCATGTGTCCTGCTGTGTAGACAAGCAAGACTTTCCCATCGCTAATCAGAGGATTTGCCAATCCATAAACTTAGAAATGCACGGAGCCCTGCGTGGCTGCGAGCTCCCCCGCAGAGTCTGTTTTACCATCTTCCCCCACCTTTGCTGAACACGCGACCCTTCACACAAGTGTAGCATCAGCACGTGATACTAAAAACGTGATAATGCAATGCAATTTCCTCTTCCTACACCTCTAAGCCATTCTCTCCACACTCTGCCCAAGTGCGTATGGCGCTTTTTCCCATGAGATTAACCCCCAGCCACCAAGCTCACGCTCTCTGGGCCTGGCCCATTCTGCTTCGCAGCTCGGCACGCGCAGGGTCAGGATGGTTTCTGCAGTCTTTGAGGGAGAACATCCCAGCCTGCACAGCCACACGCTTGACAACAGCAGCTGCCAAATTCATTACACAAAAGGCCAATATTGGCTTTAGAGCAAAAAAATGCATAGCTATGAAAAGGTTTATTGATTTGAAAGCCAGGTACTCATTAGGTCAGCAGCGAGACAAATGCACTCCCAAATTCTTTATATTTAAATGTCTTCCTGACTGATTTTTCTTGATTTTTCAAACACCGATTTCCTTCAGAAAGGCATGTGAGATTAGTATCAGCTGCTCCACTCAGCAGCTACAAAGACAACCTCCTCTTTTCCTCTGTGTCCTCCTCCCTTCAACACTGTCCTTTAAGCTGGCGGGCAAGCCCTTCCTCCCTCTTCCCTGCCTCCACCTCTTCTTTTTCTGCAGCTGAATTTATCTTTAGGAAAAGAAATGACAAAGAATAATTGTGTTTTCCATGTTCTGGCACACATTAGCGGTTAAGGCTGTAGGGCCCAGTGAGGGGATTTTAATTTGCTTTTAAGTTTTAGGCAGTGAAGTTGATGAAAATCAATAAATCATTAGGTTCACTTATTTATAAATAGTTTTCATGCTGCTGTCGAACTGCCCAGATGCAGATAATTGCTGATGCTTTCTGGTCCGTGCCTCACTTGCTTGGCTGTGCTTAGCGCCTCAGAAAAACAAACGGCAATGCAAAATCAAGCTCCCGAACAAAATACTCGCCAGCCCCCCTCCCATCTCCCTGCTGCCAGCATGCACCCCCTGAGACAAGAGCAAGAGCAAAGGTCTGCAGCGCTGACAGTGCTGGAGGACGAGGAGCTGCCTTGGGACGCCGGCAGAGCCCGCGGGCAGCAGCAGCAGGGCCGGCACGCACCCACG